TCTCTCTCTCTCTCTCTCTCTCTCTCTCTCTCTCTCTCTCTCTCTCTCTCTCTCTCTCTCTGCCCCCCCCCCCTGGGCGCGTTCGTCAAAAGAACCGACATTGGCTTTCATTTATTTATTTTTTATCGAGTAATTCTAGCGTTTTTATTTTTCCTTATTTTCCCCTTAGTTTTAGTTTTTTTCCCCATCTACCGGTAGGCGTAGGCTCGGCCAGGGTCGGGCAACCGGTAGCGGGAGGGTTGGGCCTTAACAACCGGAGGGTACTGGTGGTTTAAAAACTCAATGACCGTGGCCTCCTCGGCCTCCTACGGGCAGCTACTGGTGCTTCACATGCCCCGCCCCTTGCTAAGCCCTCACCTCAAAATTGCCCACCCTCTCGAACAACCACCGACGTTGAAAGTTGAGTTGGCGTTGAAGGTCTCAAGGACATAAGACAACCCTGATGGGCTGCGAACTCGGGGGCACAAATGCAATCCTGACGGACTGCAAATGCAGGGGCATAAATGCAACCCTGACAGGCTGCGAACTGGCCTCCCCGAGGTTTCCCCCCCCAGTTGTGGTAGGTTTTGCCTGAACCACCCCTCTTTCTACCCCCTATACCTCCCCCTGGGCTACCCATGCAGTCCCGTTATCCCGGGCCTTCCATGCTTTCCTGTCGATTTCGTGGCTATGTTCATGCTTCCCCAATGGTGCGACTTCGGGCTAAGAAAACACGAACCTGGCTATCTATTTTGTTGCTATGTTCATGCTCTCCAATGGTGGGTCCTGGCCCTTATTGCTGAGTGAACCTCCATCGTTGCGGATGTCCGGGCTTGTCCATGCGGATATTCAGAGGTCACACAGGGGTGGAATGGAATTTCGCTTTTTTGTCCACCGTGGCCCATCTCGGTGCGCTAACGGCTTCCCGCAAGCAGCAGGCCTACCTTCAGAGCGTCCCCTCTCGGCTGACGGACTGCCAGGCGCTCTAATCAAATCAATAACCGGAATAACACAATTTATCAGTAACACAATTTATCAGGGCTTCCTTTCTATGGGTCCGCGCTCGACGACGGAGCTGTTCCGTCTCTTGGATGGATCAGGGCATCGCTGTAAGGGTTTCAAGTTGACCCAGGCTGACCCGAATCCGAATCCGAAGCCGAGGCTCTAGGCTGTGGCAGTTCGCGGTTGCGTGCACGTATGTGCACGCGCTCTGATTCGGAGAGCTGTGCGTCATGTTTTGCGCGAGCCCGCGTGCCGCCGGCGGTCGTGATACAACGGTGATTGTACTTCGAAAAAACTTATTACTTATTACACGCTGACTGACGCAATGCAATGCAACTTCCGGGCAAAAGTTCCCCTCTGACAGTGTTTGTAAGTGGAGGGTTTCCTGCTGCTGCGTCCTCGTACACGCGACAGACCAACGTCGGGCCTCGCTAAAGCCGTGCAGGGGGGGAGTGGGCAGAGTGAGCATGCCTCTCGTTGCCATTGCAATTACGAATTACCATTACCCGAGCCAGTGAGCGAGGTGAGACGAGATGGAGAGGGAGGGAAAGCGAGAGGGCGTGCTCACACCAGGACCTTTCTACTTACTTGTGGACGTAATTGTGGTCGTAAACATCCAGAGGGGGCCGTAAAAGCGGTCAGATTCATTCAGGATAGAGCTAGTGTTAGTACGCGCTGAGAGGGATGAGTGAGATGAGAGAAAAGTTTCACAGCGCGGTGACGTCGCGCGGGGATCGCGGAAAAACCTGGCTCCCAAGCCACCAGTGGAGAGAACCCGTGTCGTGGAGCTCAACCCGCGCTCCACGGCGGCGACCGGTAGTTCTTGCCGACCGGTAATTGTGTTGCGTCCAACCCAAGTTTAGGTACGGTGACGCGGTCGGGCAGGAGTAGAGCTGGGGCGGGGACGCTGGCGGGGCTTCGCCGGGGAGCGCAGGGAGGGGAACGCGCGGACACCGAGGGTAGGCGTCGGCGGGGAAGCAGTTTACCGTTCCAGGAGCGGGAAGTTTGTCGGTCCATTGCACGGCGCCATGACGCGAGGAGGGGGTGACTAGTGAGAGTGAGGAGGGGTGTTTGGGGGAAAGAGGGAGGGGGGGGGGCCGTAAGCGGAGCGGGAAGTTTGTCTGTGGGGACCAACGAGGCCAAGAAGTCAATGGAATAGTTCGTCCCTGGCGTTGTGGAATTAGCGGCCAGGATGTTGCGCGCGTTCGCGTACGCGTACGCCCGTCCCCACTCGCTCAGTCAATCGAGGCACTTGATGTGCAGCGGAGGGGAGAAGAGGAGGAGTCGTGGGGAGCGACAGCGACGGACGATCGCCACGTGCACGAAGAGGGTAGACGTAGTACCGACTGTGCGACGGTAATCAATCAAAACGCACTTACCGCAGAGCCACCATCTCGAAGTGCAGCGGAGGGTTTAGGATTGGATTGGAGGCGTCCCGAGCGTCTCTGCTGCCGTTCAGTGTTGTTGGCAGGTAAACGCATGGGAGGGGTGAGAGAATGGGTGGGTGGGTTGGAAGGGACAAGGGGGCGGGGGGGGGGGGGGGGGGAGGGGGAAAGGGGAAAGGAGGGCGCAGGCTACGATGAGTCGTTATGACTAGCTGCCCGCGTGCGACAGGTGCAGCGGCGAAATTGAGATAGCTGCGCGCTTTGGGTCGCGCTAGCGTGCGCATCCTGCGCGAGGGTCGTCGACTCCCAGCGATCGCCGCGATCCCCTGCAGGACAGGATTCTGGTACTCGGAGGGCAGTCGACAGGGCGGATACGCTGGAGGGTAGCCTGGAGGAGGAGGAGGGGGAAGAGGTGGTGGAGTTGCTTGGGAGTGTACTGGCCGTACGGGCCTCATGAGAGTCGCGTCGCGCGCTCGGCGTCCTTCTCGTTCTCCTCCTCCTCTCCCTCCTGCAGTGCACGATGATGCTCTGATTGGTGGTAGTAGACCACGTCCGCTGGACAGGGGACATGGATACTGACGAAGACGAGTTCTTCGAAGCGTTAGAAGAGATCCCTTCCGGGTCCGAGGAGGGGGAAGACGAGCGGTCCAAGCGTCGCCTGCCCTCTCAACAACAGCAGCAGCAGCCGCCGCCGCCGCCGCCGCAGCAGCAGCAGCAGCAGCCATTACCGCTCTCGCAGCAGCTTCGGCCGCAGCAGCAGGCGCAACAACCGCAGCAACAGAGGCAGGAGGCAAACAAAGCCTTTGGAGAGGGCGGGGGGGGGGGGGGCGTAGACTGCATTCAGGGGACGGGGCACGATGGGTTGGGCTATCATCAACGGGGTGCGGTGGGAGGGAGTTGGGAGTGGGGCAGTTGTAAGGATGGGCAGAAAGAAAACAGGGTGGGTTATGGGAACACGGGCTTTCGTGACGGCAAGGAGGTCAAGGTGGAAGCACGCAGCATGGTGGTGTCCGGCTCTCGAGATGGCAGCAGAGGGAGGATGGCAGAAGAGAACAACAGCCGGGGGAGCAGCGGCGGCAGGAACGAGAGACAGTCCTCTCGGAATAACGGGAGTAAGACCTGGGATAGAGTGGGGGAAGATTGTACCTGGAGCGCGGAGATGAAGAGGGGGGGGGATTACTCGATGGGATATGGGGGTGCGAGGATGAATGGCGTGACGGCAACGACGACCGTGACGACGAGAACGAGATTGTCAAAGTCCATGGCGGCGGAACTGGAAAGCGAGGCAGGGGTCGTTGGGATTGAGAGAGTCGATAGCGTCTCGAGAATGGGAGGAGGGGGGGATGTGAGCAGTGGAGTGGACAAAAGCCGAGCAGTCAGTCAGGGGAAAGTGCGCGAGAGATCATTGACACCCTCCGCGGCGCAACGGGGAGGGAGTTCCTTCTCTGAGATGGACTTGTCTGTGTGGAAGGATTTGCCGGGGACGGTGAAAGAGAGGAGGGAGAGGTTCTGGCAGAGCTTGAAAGGGAGGAATGGCAAGCTTGGATCGTCCATCGCGGCGCAGTCGCAACGATCGAGAAGTGTGTCCGTGCCAAAGTCTAACAATTACGTCCACGATTTGCGACCGATCAGAGAGAACGGGATCGGGATGGGTAGTGTGGAGCAAGGAGGGGAGGAGGAGGCGGTTCCGTCCAGGGCGAGGAGCGGGCTTGGTGGCGGCGGGAATGAAGGAGGAGTGGGGAGGACTAGAGCACTGGGCCGGAGTCGTCTGCGGCCCACGTCTGCGTCGTCGTCGTCATTGTCACCGCCGGTGGCAGATCGTTTGACGGCGCTGAGGAAAGATGGGGTTGGGGGTTTTGAACCCGCGCAGAGGGGGGCTGAGGAAGAGAGGAGTTCGATATCGAGGATTGCGAGCTTTGCTGCGAAGCCATCGAGGCCGCTTCAGTCTTGGGTGTCGTCGACCGCCAACTGGGTGAGGTGGAGGGGGGGATCAGGGGTCTCTCAGAGTCTGGATACCGGTGACGGAAGGGCAGGGTGGGAGGGGTGGGAGCGAGTCGTGTACGGAGGGGTAGGCGACGAGGGGATGCGATCATTCAGTGCAAGGAAGGAGCGACCCCGACCGGACTGGTTAGCGGACTCCCCCGAGCAGACGGCGAAGGGGGCGAGATCGGGCCCTTTGTGGGAGCCGGCGAGGACCAGTCGTTGGGATGCTTTCGGTGAAAGGGAGAGGCAGAGAGGAGGAGGAGGAGGAGGAGGGTGTCCTGACGAGGGGGCCAAAGAAGCGGGGAGCCGCTCTAGTAGTGGTTGTGCGCCCCGGTCGTTGTCCAGAGAAAACGTGGACAACGGCCGCAGAGAAGAGAAGAGAAGAGACTCGACATCCATCTTCACCACGCCGGCAAATCGGTCCTCGGGGCGGGGTTCGACTGGGGAGGGGGTAGGCGGAGGCGAAGTTGTACGCGGGACGCGGAGATCGTCGTCGAGGCAGAGACAGAGAGAGGAAGAGGAAGAGGAGGGAGAAACAGAAGAAGAAGTTTTGACGAGCGGGAGGCACAAGCGGTCGAAGAGCGACCCGAGTCTTATTGGCAGCCCGGGAGCGGAGCAGGAGGCGGAAGTTGGGCGGCAGTCGTATTCCAGGGAGGGGGGGAAGGAAGGGTCCTCGAGCGGGAGAGCGGGGGCCGGCGAGGTGAGGGCGGAATGGCGCCCGGCGGAGAGGCTAGGGTGTAGTTCGTCCAGCGGGTCAGATGGCGTGTTCGTAGAGGGGGGGAGGGAGGGGGGGAAGAACGGGGTAGGGGACGGCCGCGGAGGGGGGGGCGAGGCGGACTCTATGCTTAGGGTGCACGATTTCAAATCGGGGAAGGAGATCGAGGTCGAGATGATTTACAGAATAAGGGACCTGGACACGGGGAAAGAGTTCATTTTGGGGGAGGACTTGTGCGCGAACCCCAGGGGGGCGGGGAAGGAGGGGAATAGAGTTCACGAGGTTGTGCACGAGGTTGGAAAAGGGGGGAAGCTGGGGAAAGACATGACGCTGGACGAGTTCCAAGAGTCGCTAGGGATATACCCTTTGACGCGGGAGATGGCGATCAGAGAGAGAAGGGAGGGAAGAGGTGGGGGGGTTAAGGAAGAGAAGGGGGGGGATAAAAAAGAAGGAGAGGGGGGCGGGAAGAAGAAGGGTAGGTGGTTTCGCTCGATTAGAGTGTACGGCGGAGGTTCGAAAGAGAAGAAGGGGGGGAAGAGTGAAGGGGGAGGGGCGGAGACGGGGCAGGGGGGCAACACGCCGAGAAGCGACACGTCCTCGACCAAGGATTACGCCAGCTGCACGGAGGGGGAGAAGGCGGAGGGGAGGAAAGCGGGCAAGCGGAAGAAGGGGGAGCAGCAACCGTCCAGCACGGAGACCAGGGAGAAGGTTCATCATCACAGGAAGACCCACAGGGACCTTACCGACTTGAAGTTGGGCCAGGAGCTGAGGGCTCATGACGGTGCCATTTGGACGATAAAGTTCAGTCGAGACGGAAAGTACATGGCGAGCGCGGGGCAGGACAAAATCGTCAAAGTGTGGCTGATACTTGACCGCAAGCCCAGTTCGAACACAAGGGGTAGCGGCGCGAGCGGCGAGGGAGGAGAGGGAGAGAGGGGGAGGACTTGCCGCGCAGACGACGAATGCGAAGTGGGGAATAGCGGGCGTCTGAGCAGCAGTAGCAGTTCAGGGAGTTGCCACAGCCTGGGGAGCAATGGCAATGGGAGCAGGCTCGGGGGGGGGGGAGGAAGCGCCCCCGCTCCCCCCGGAGCGACGGCGGGGTCCTGGGGTGGCAGCTTCTACATCCAAGAGACGCCGCATCGGGTCTTCAAAGGGCATACAGGGGACGTGCTCGACATGTCGTGGTCCAAGTCTCAGGTACTACACAAGCATACAAGCATATGACCAAAAGCCTACTGGCCTCCTCCTCGTTGTTGTTGCAGTTCCACTTTCCCTCCCTTGGACGACTCTGCTCGCTTGCCTCCCCCTCTTTCCTTCCCCCCTACCAACCGTCCGTTTCCCTATTCCGTCGATCGAACCCCTTTTTTTCCCCCCCCATACCGGGTTATCAATGCACATCCTGTCCACTGGGTTTCGTAATTAAAAAAAAAAAAAAAAAAAAAGGTTTTCGCAACTTCCTGCCATGCGCCGCTTATAGTACCGCAATTGAAAAAAAAAAAAAAAAAGGTTTCGCAAATCGACCGGTTTACAAATCATCTCGCCTCGTGCAGCAGGGTCAGCTCGTCACCCCCCCCTACCGTCGTCGTTGGGCTAATCGGACTCCTCGTCTCGCGCATCCGTCTATCCATCCATTCCGTCCATTGATTATTGATTCGGTTGCTAATTCAACCAATGTCGATCTCCACCACTGCACACAGCCGACTCACGCACGACCAATCAGGTGCAGCGAATGCCAATCTACTTGATTGTATTGTTTTATGATACCGATCAACGATCAAACGGCAGTTGTCATCATTACTAATCGACTAGTCATCATTGGGGATTGTGAACCGATGGATTTGGATTGATTGATCCGATGGCCGTTGGTGCAGATGCTTTTTGCTTCTTCCCGGGGGGCAATGACCGATGGCGATGGACATTTCTGAGGAGGAGGAGGAAGTTGACAAGAGACCAACTTTTCCTCCTGACTTTGGCGACCTAGCAGGGCCGCGAATAGACTGTATGGGTCTGGTTTGGGTTCTTCCGCGCGTTCAGCATTTGATGACGCTTCTTCCGTCTCGTCGGTTTTACATCTACGATACGAGTGAACCGTCATGTCATGGTCTTACGTTTCGATGCTACCAATAGGCATTGCAAGCTTGTCCATCTCAACGATTACCATTTCCGTAATTCAGAGGTGGCATCCTCGGTGGGCGCGCTTTCCCCCCCCTCTTGCCCGGAGTAGATGCGCTCATAGTATATATATGTACATATGTATATATGCACAGTGACAATTACTTAATACAGTAGATGGTAGGGGAAAAAATGCAGCAATGTGTCAGATAAACGGAAAATTTGTCGGTAGGTAGAGAGCCCCAACTGCCGCTGTTCTTACAGTACTTATGTGTTCTTTTAGCAAACTGACAAGATCTGCTCTCTTGATGATGAGGGTAACCGGTTGGATGAGGAGGGTGGATTAGTCTTTTCCACTTCGCCGGGAGAAGTACGCGGTGCGGTTTGTGAGGTGATGATAACTCCACTGCACTCCTTGGTAGTCTGAGTAGCAAAGCTGTCTCTTATACACATCTAGATGTGTATAAGAGACAGCCACTGCACTGCTTGGTAGTCTGAGTCTGACAGCATGTGAAGGCTGTGAGTTGTGCAGTTCAACTTTGCCCGTCCTAAGTGTACTGCCATCCGCTCAATCAATCAATCAATCAATCAATCAATCAATCAATCAACAGTTCCGCTGCGCAAAACGAATGAATGTGTATACGGGTTTGCGAGCCTCCTTAACAGATAAGCTGACCGTAGATCGCGCATTGCCGAGGAATCGACGGACGACAGCTTCTCGGTCTTGCGGGGGGCACTGCAGAGACCCCGTTCCAGTCTCTTTCTAGACCCTCGGATGTCAGTCAGAAGCATGGGACCCCGTCATGTCTATTATGGCGTATTACAGTTAACTCTTTTAGAGTTATGTATCTGTTTCTTTGTCTCCTTCCTATGGCCATTTTTTCCGCGTTTGGAAAATGTGCGAACAGGCTCTGCAGGACTGATGGTGGTGAGCAATTCGGTCGCTGGCTTGCACTGACGCGCCCGCGAAACCAACTAGGGTCTGCACGAAGATTGAGTCGATTATGTGCTGAAAAAGACGTGTTCTCGCTGACTGATAGAGTGCTGTTCTGTTTCGGCACACAAGGGTCAGAACGCTTGTGCTGATTGGTTGACCCTTCGACCGGCTTGTTTGATTGGTGATTGGTGGGTTGGTTGATGTGTTGATTGAGGGGATGATGACTCAGCGGATTGATGGGGTTATTGATTGATTGATTGATTGATTGGCGGGTAGATTGATTGACCGATGGATTGCGTGATGAATCGACTGATTGGATTGATTTTTATTACTAGTAGTCGTAGTAATTGAGCGAGGTGTTGATTGCCTGTCCAATCAGGGCGGTTAAGTTGTTGGTTGAGCAGATGATGGTTGGGGTTTTGCTCCTATATCACATTTGTTCGCCGAACCGTTGTGGCTCGTACTATGTCTCCATCTCGGCGAACCCTCCTGAATTTCTCCGGGCGTGCTCGCACACGACTTTTTCGATTGAACTCTGGACTTCATTGCGGTCAGATACATCCATGATGTGCTTATTGTGGCCAGATACATCCAGCAAAGTCTTAGTGTGAGTATACTCTCCTCCGTCCGGGCAACCCATCCTGTCTCTTTAGTCTATCGTGCGGAAGTGTTTCCGGTGACGTGTCGAACAACGGAGAGCGTACTCACACGAGCACTTTGCGAAACGCATCTGACTGTAATTACGTCCAATCCTGGACGAATCTGACTGCAAACACGTCCAGAGCTGTGTAGAAAAAAGTCCCTGCGATACCGCTGCCATTGATTGGCAGTGCTGCTAATGATCATCATGCTGCTTCGATCCATGATGATGACGACGACGAGTTGCCACGTGTCATTCCCGTGCCTGCTGTTCGTCGATGTCATGGATGTTGGCCCAACGGTTCGTTGACGGTGGACAACTGCCAATCAGCGCTACTAATGATCATCACGCGGCTTCGATCCATGATGATGACGACGAGGAGTTGCCACGTGTCATTCCCGTGCCTGCTGGTCGTCGATGTCATGGATGTTGGCCCGACGGTTCGTTGACACGTGGACACGTGGGCGACGATCCGAATTGCGGTCGACCGAGAGCGTCGGAGGTAGCGAGGGTAAGGTGTGGGAGCGAGCAACGACGTTGGGAAGGGAGGGAAGAGGGAGGGAGGGAGAGGAGAGGAGTAACTGCGAGGAGAGGCACGCCGTTGAGGAGCGGGAGAGAGGAGAGGAGAGGAGGAACTGAGCGTTCGGCTGAGGATCGCGAGAGGCAGTTGTTGGGGAGTTAGGGGGGGGGGGGGGGGGGGGGGGGGGGGGGGGGGGGGGGGGGGGGGGGGGGGGGGGGGGGGGGGGGGGGGGGGGGGGGGGGTGATTTTGTTCCCTTATTTGTAGTGTGGTAATGGTACGGAAAACAGGAGCACAGCTGCTGCTATCGTCTCTTCACCCGGCTAAGGTCATTATCACTGTGTCTAGACTCGAAGCAACCCCAAATACCGGTGTAATGACTCGGCGTTTTATTCCGGTGAAGACGGTAGGTGCGCCCTCCCACCCTTGGGAAAATCTCCTACAGAGTAGAAGCTAGACCGGGGACGACAGTTCGACGCTTGTTTGAGAATGGAAGATTCATTCATGCAGCTGTCATAACGCGAAAGGCCAGCTCGCCGGTGTCCATCTCCACCCAATGTGTTCTCTCTCGATTCGACACGTGGCTGTCCGGGAATAGATCCGGTTTGGAAATGAAATCGTTGGACCCTGGCGGGGGGGGGGGAAGAGAGAGAGAGAGAGAGAGAGAGAGAGAGAGAGAGAGAGANCGCGGGGGGGGAAGAGAGAGAGAGAGAGAGAGAGAGAGAGAGAGAGAGAGAGAGAGAGAGAGAGAGAGAGCAGACCTTGTAGTGTGGATGGGAGGGGGAAAGACCAAAGGCACAGGTGAGAAGCAAGAAGGCGCAAATGCACGGGTGGATGTTGGAACAGCAGTTAGGTGGAATGGGAGCGAAGTCGAGACTGGAAGCGGGTGGAGGGCTGAGGGGATAGTCGCCCTTGCAGTCCTCAGAATGCATCTGACCGCAATTACGGCCAGACGTGGAATCTGACTGTCCAGAATCATCGTCGAAAATCTCCCAGTGTGAGTATGCCCTGAGGGGGAGAGGAGCTAGTTGTGCACCTAAAGTTGGGACTGCTACTGGACGTGGATCTGCTGGAGTGGTGGAAGGCATGGAATCTGCGTAATAATGGGAAGCTATGGCTGTCGACCTTGAGGGCATGCTTACACTACTGTAGCACTTTCGGGGATGTATATGATCGTTTTCCCGACCTGGTCAGGATGCACCTAACCGCTATTACGTCCACAGAGAAGTGAAAAAACTCCTAGGGTGAGTATGCCCTGAGCGGGTGGTTGGAGTATCGTTATCCATCCTGAGTGTGAAGGGCTTCCCGCCCCCTCCCACTGACTGAAGTATATAAATAAATAGGGCTCTCTCGTCTCGCTCTTCTTTTCGTTCATTCATCCTTTTCGCCGCCCACCCTTTCACTGTGGTATCGTCATTCATGGTCGTCCTTATCTGTCCAATCGAAGCCCCCGGGTGTTGGCCCTTGCTCCGTTACTCAACATTTGACACTTATCTGAACTGCTATGTGGACCAGATTCATTACTCTATTGAACATTTTGAACGTATTTGGACCATGATCAGCTCCACATACATTTGGAATGCTGTGCAGTGGAGCGAGGCCCACCGAGTCTCGTCACCCAGATCACGTTGTCCTTATCCGTTCCAAGCCCGGGGATTCGGCGCCTCGCCGCTCAACTCACCAATTGTGAAAAAGACGAAAGTATGGAGGGTGTACTTCTCCACGTTCTAGCACGATATACATTTTTTTTATTTTATTTTTTTATAATTTGGTGAGAGGTCCGGCGAGGCCCTCAGTGCCGTCCGCAGATCTGCTCCCAATTTGACTGCCCCATGTGACATCATCGCCCGCGTTCTCATTTGGTCATGCGCAAGCCATCCCCGTTTGATGATACGTTTTTGCTAATGACTTAAAACACGCGAACGCAACGCACCCGCATTTTGGCTGCACCTGGCCGATTGTATACATTCGGTATCGGCGTGCTTTGTGT